CAAGTCCGAGCCCCCCTCCTCTGCCCCCGCCTGCTACGCCCTGGCCATCAGCCCTGACGCCAAAGTCTGCTTCTCCTGCTGCAGCGACGGCAACATCGTGGTGTGGGACCTGCAGAACCAGACCCTGGTCAGGTGAGCCGGGGGCAGGGGGAGCATGGGCTGCTTGGGGCTCTTTGGGCCAGGAATCGCTCAGTCCCCTCCACGGTGTCCCCGCCTCTCCCCAGCCGTCTAACGCTGGCCATGGGACAGTCCCTGCCCTTGCAGCAGGGATCTGCTCCTCACTGCTGAGCGCCGTCCCAGCCCATGCTCTGTGCTGCCGGCGCTGGCAGCCCTGGGGGCTGTGCCCTCGCCCTCTCCATCCCGCTCTTTCCCAGGCAGTTTCAAGGCCACACGGATGGTGCCAGCTGCATTGACATCTCTAACTACGGCACCAAGCTGTGGACGGGGGGGCTGGACAACACGGTGCGGTGCTGGGACCTGCGGGAAGGGCGTCAGCTGCAGCAGCACGACTTCAGCTCTCAGGTAGGGGCTGGGGCCGGCGAGGAGCACCACGGGGCCAGCGGGGACCTGCCATGCTGGTGCCTGACCCCGTCTCCCTCCAGATCTTCTCCCTGGGCTACTGCCCGACAGGAGAGTGGCTGGCGGTGGGCATGGAGAGCAGCAACGTGGAGATCCTGCACGTGACCAAACCGGACAAGTACCAGCTGCACCTCCACGAGAGCTGTGTCCTCTCCCTCAAATTTGCCTCCTGCGGTAGGCATGCCTGTCCCAGCCCCTTGATTCTGCAGTCTCCTCCCCTGGCCACTTGTCCCAGGGCTTGTTGCGCTGGGGGCAAGCACTGGCTCCAGTAGCCAGCCTTGTGTGGGTGCTAGTGGTATCTCTGAGAATGGTTGTCAGTCACTCCTGGAGCAGCACCCACGGCTGCACTCTCACCTCTGTTATCCCAGGACTCCCCTTTGTGTTCCTTAAAACAGCACCTTGGCTAACAAGCGGCAGAATTACGGCCTTCCAGTCCCCACCTTGTATTGCACAACCCAGGCACAATTTGCTGCAGGAATCCAGTGGGTGGACCTGGTTTGGTGACACGATGCTCTTTGTCCCTTCTGTTCCTCCCACAGGGAAGTGGTTCGTGAGCACGGGGAAGGACAACCTGCCTTTGTGTTCCTTAAAACAGCACCTTGGCTAACAAGCGGCAGAATTACGGCCTTCCAGTCCCCACCTTGTATTGCACAACCCAGGCACAATTTGCTGCAGGAATCCAGTGGGTGGACCTGGTTTGGTGACACGATGCTCTTTGTCCCTTCTGTTCCTCCCACAGGGAAGTGGTTCGTGAGCACGGGGAAGGACAACCTGCTGAACGTGTGCGCAGCCACTGGGGTCAGGTCTGCGGGGAGGTTCCTCTGGGTGAGGTTGCCTGCAGCTGGGACTGCCCAGTACAACTTAGCTGTCAATGTATCTGCCATAATAAGCCCCATAAACAAATCTGTCCCCCCAGCTGCCCTGGGCACAACTCAGGGCCCCAAGTTATGGGACCCAGGACCTTGCTCTGGGGCTGTTTCTTGCTCTTACCCCTCTTCCCTCCTCTCTCCAGTCGAAGGAAACGTCCTCTGTCCTCAGCTGTGATGTCTCCACGGATGACCAGTTCATTGTGACTGGCTCAGGGGACAAGAAAGCTACAGTTTACGAGGTCATTTATTGAGAGTGAGAGAGGTGCCGACTGCGGGGAGGGCCCACGCCATGTGGACAGGCGCACGTCCACGTGGATGGACGGGTGGACTCTACCTGCCCTGCTGCTGACTTCCCAAAGAACGTGCAGCCCGTGGCTGGGACATCCGAGCCGGAGAAGAGTGGTGACAGGTGGAGGTGGCCCCAGGACCACGGCCAAGCATCATGCTGGGCTGGGAGGTGGCGGCTGCTGCTCGCAGTGAATTTCCTGGGGACTTTCTCCTTGTTTTGTTCTTTATTTGTTGTTTTGTTTCTACATCTGGACTGGGGTGGCTGGATGGGAGGGTCTGAGGCTGTTGGGCATTTTTAGGGGGTTTTTTTTGTTTGTTTTTAACTTTTTGGTGTGGGTTGGTTTTTTTTGGTTAAGGCTCTGGGCCAGGTGAGGAAGACGGCCTCTGTCCTCATCTCCCTTTGTGCCTCCTAGGGTGTATTTAATAATAAAACCAAAACAGCACAGCTGTGCCTTGTCCTGGGCAGCAGCTTTGTGGCTGTGGCATGGAGACAGGTGAGGATGGGTGAGACCAGTAGCATGTCCCCTTTGGCTGCTGCAGCTCGCTGCTCCGTCCCCTTTCCTGCATTGGGGCGGGTTTGCTGCCCCTCT